ATACATGGATGTGTATATATACATGTATACATACATATACAAGTATTCACTGCCAGTGTAATCTGCAGTGTAGGGGAAGAAAAGAAAAAAAAAAAAACAATAACAACATAGCAATGGACAAGTGCAACGCCAGGAATATTGCAGTTATTTTGTGAGTGTGTGTGCGTGCTTGTGCCGTTATTCAACACTGTTGCCACTGTGCAATTCTATTAGCGCGCGCTCTCTCCTGCACTCACTCTCGCTCATCTGTTTAAACTTACATCTTCAGAATCGTCCTGCGATTGTAGATTCTCGGAAGAACTTGATGATTGCAATTGTTGTTGTGGTTGTTGCTGCTGTTGTTGTTGCTGTTGTTGTTGCTGTTGTTGCTGCTGCTGTTGCTGCTGTTGTTGCTGTTGCTGTTGCTGCAGCTGCAGCACAGCAGCTACAGCGCTGCCGTTTGTCAGCTGTGCCGCCACCGTGTCGCTCTCGCTAGCTACTGTTGATGCGGCAGCAGCAGCGGCTACTGCAGCGGCCGCTACAGAAGCGGCTGCGCCGTCCTGCACTCGCACCGCTTGATGGAAGTTCGAATTGTTTGTCAACTGTTCTGAGCAGCGCACGCACGTGGGTATGCTATAGCCGGGCACTTGGAATAACTGTAATTAGAGCGAAGAGAAACAGAAATAAAGAAGAGATCATTAGAAATGAGACTCCAATTGGCGTGTTTGAAAAGCAAAAAAGAAAGTGTGTTGGTAAAAAAACAAAAAAGAAAAAATCTTAAAAAAATATGATACATAATAAAGCTTGATTTTTTTTTTGAGGCAGACTCCACTGCTTCCCCTCCATCGTCATCTCCTAATAATAACAACCAAGGAGCTCTCGCACTCAGATGTGCATACATACATACTACATACACACATACTATTACATATGTATTTATATATTATTATATACACACACACGTGCGCCCAGAAATGCCAGCACCAAACAATAATAACAACACATACATACATACACACATACATACACTGACGACAGCGTTGGTTTGTTGTTTTCATTTCATGTTTTTTTTCCGACTACAGCGTTGTTATTCTTTCGTTTTTGTTTTGTTTTGCTGTGAACGGCACAGTGGCGTCGTTGCACGGGGTATCACCAACGTGACGTCAGAAAGCTACGCTTACAGCAACAATTGTTGCTACCGATCATAAATTTGTATGTGTATGTATGCAAGCATTTCTGTGTAAATGTGCGCATATGCACATTGCTTTGTACCGCACCTTAAAGCTGGGCTTTGTCTGTAATGTGGACGAACATCTGCACCTGAACGACGAACTTGTACCCCTTGCAGCGTACGCCGCTGTAATCTTGGCGGAATTTTTGTCATTTTGTTTTATTTCATATTATTTCGTTTTGTGCTCTTGTTGAAAAGGAGTCGAATGAAAAGCTGCGCACAAACGAAATGTAAAAATATATATTTTTTTCAATATACATACATATGTACAAATATATGTATAT